GATGTAGCAAATAAAGACATACCTTTCCAGTTCTTTATTTCACTGGATACAATTAAAAAAAAATATATTTACTAAACACTGTACATAAAGTTAATGCAAAGATATGAAAATATGAATGGGTTTAGATGGATGTAAAACTTATCTTTGTATTATCATCCAAGACATTTTTCATTGTACTTGATCTCATTGCCTGCTTATAACTTACATAGTCTTGACATAGAAGATTATGAAATGAGCAATTCGTGCTGATAACGTGTTATAAAATAAAAGCAACTTAGTAAAACATGAACAAGACATGTTGTTATGAAATAAAAGCAATTTAGTAAAACATGAACAAGAAATGGAGATACAGAGAAGGAAGAGATTTTCTTCTTCAATTGTGTGTATTTTCCTATCTATTACAAGGCCTTTATATATGCATGAAAAGTGAAGAAAAACATGTCATTGAATATGTCATTAAGCATAGAAATATGTTATTGAATATGTCATTAAGCATTTGAGAAGATCATGGAGGAAGAGTAGACATCCACCATAATTTGATTTTTCTTATAACAAATATTACATTATGAAATATTATTTTTCTTATTAGAAAATAAATATACTTTTTTGACAATATAAAATAAAAAGCAGCAAAAATAACTTAGGGTTCAAAAAAAACTATTTAAAGCGGTCAATAAGACTTTTTGTCCCAAATATATTATTTTGAGGGACAAACTACTAGCATAGTGCTTTCTTTTTAATGATTGGAGTTAGAAAGTTTGAAAAGCTAATTCATGCACCCACAGCCAAACGAAAGAGCTAAAATTTATAAAAAGTGAAGAAGTATCACTATTGCTAGTCAAAAAAGCTAAAAGTTCAAAAGACTGTATTGTACTGTACGCCTTAGCAGATATACATTTTTAGGAAAGAGCAATAGAAGTTGCACTAATGATGTCAAAAATTGCAATAAATAGAAAGAGATATCCAGCAGTATATATGTAAACTTTTTTTTCTCTTAGATAGTGTATATGGTAACGTTAATTAAAATTCTAAGTGCTTCTTTGGTACGAGGGATAAAGAATAATTAATTTCAGAATTAAATTTAAGAAGAGTTTATATTATGTTTCGTTGAGAGAAAATTACGATATAATTAATTCCGGGATTAATTATCTCGAAATTGTAGTATTTTTTTTATCTCCATAAAAATATGAAATAACTAATCTCGAAATAATTGATCGTGACATAACTCTTTTCCAATCAAACTAACCCTTAAAGGAATAAACGTAAAGCATGCTTAAATGAGTACGTTTGGAAATTCATAAACGGATAGAGTGAATTTTAGCTTGCATTTAGACATAGAACTTTTTTAAAAAAAAATTGTTTTGAAAACGTTATTTTTTTTCATGGGATTTTATTTGTTTTTGAGAAAAATTTGGTTTTTGAGTGAATTATTTTTTTTCACTCACAAAACTTCAATTCTTTTCTAAGTAAAATGTATGACAAATGTAACTTCAACTTCTAAAAATTATCTTTAACATAACTTAAAAAATTATTCGAACACATTGTTTACATCAAATAAAAAGTTGAATAATTAATAGTTCAGTTAGTTGGCTAGCTTGATCCTGAAGGTTTGGCTTCCCCACCTTGAATTCTCATCCACATTTTTTTCTATAAAGTAAAAATTTAATAAAAATAAAAAATATTAATCACAAATTGAAATAGTAATAAAAATATAAATAAGTATTAATGTAAATTGTTACCTTATTTGGAGAGAGAGAGAGAGAGAGAGTGAGAACAGCAGCAGCAGCAGTAGTAGTAGTGGGGTTAAGGGGAAGTAATAAAAGCAATTAGAGAAAGAAGAAAAGAAAGAAGCAGAGTGTAGAGGAAGAAGAGCAAATGGCCTCGTTACCGCTGGTACCTCAGCAGCACCCTAATCCACCGGAAAATCATCTTAATCTTCAACTTCTTCAGCATCAGCAGAATGCTCATCGTGATCAAGGAGCAGCAGCTGCCGTTAGGCCCGCCGTCGCCGGCGTACGACCGGAAACGGATTCCGACAAGGTACTTTTACCTTTTTTCCCAAAACCACATACTCACACTCTTTGTCCTTGTTATTGCTCTTGTTCTTTGTGCTTCGATCTCTTTGAGTTCATGCCTTCTCCATGACCGGAATGTTCGTCGGAGATATCGCCGGTGAATTTTCCGGCGACTCGATTTTTTTGGGTTAGTTGCTTAAAGCGAGGTGCTCTGCAGCTGCTGGGGAAAATAATGTATTTCCGAAACAAAATGAGAGAGCAGCAGAAAGTGTTTTTGTTTTTAGTTTTCTTTTCCTTTTGGACATCTTTATTTTGTAGCTCTTAACATATTCAAAACTGTAACTTTGAGTAGCTTCCGCTTCATATTTTTGGTTTTATTTACCAAAATATTACTCTTGGTTTTCTTGCTGTTTGCTCTATACTAGTACTTGTTTCTAGTGTAGCTGATTTTGGGGTTTCGTATAAAGTGCACATTTTGAGTTAGATCCATGAGGTTTTTTATGGTGGGTAGTGACTCTTTTACCCTTTTATCTTGTTTGTGTGTTGGGAATTATATAGGACAGGTATTCTTAAATTTTATTAGGTTGCTTGCAAGTCTCTTTTTATGAAAAGGCTTTTTAGCTGCTTTTCTTCATCTTTAGGTAAATTGTGCTTCAATCTTTCATAGGGTTTGCTTCATGTGAATGGTGATGGCTGATTCTCCTTAAATAGTGTATTTGTTTCAGTTACAAGCCTCTACCATGTGATGCTTCTTAAAGCCTATGTTTTATGCCATTCGCTGCTTTACTGTTTCTGTTGAACGATTTTGTAAGGTCGTCTGACAGGTTATGGTAATGGTGGGGTCTTACTATTTTCTAAACGAGATGGAGTTCTTTTGGCATTGCAATTGACCTTGCTTGTTTTGCATTGTAGGAAATGTCAGCTGCCGCTGTTGAGGGTAATGGTGCTGTCACTGGTCACATTATTTCAACCACAATTGGAGGCAAGAATGGAGAACCAAAAAGGGTGTGTACCTGATATATGTCAGTTTCTTTGGTTCTTATTCGTTTGGAAATTCAATTTTTTGTAATTTCTTGGTTCATTAATATTGGGATTCTAATCTTTGGTGTCAACGCTTTAGATGGTTTAAGTGACAGAATCTGATGAGATATTTTTGCGATTTCATTCCTCTGCTAAACATGTTTTTTTCAGAAATATTGACACTTTTGTTCATATTTATTTTCTGCAGACCATCAGTTACATGGCAGAGCGAGTTGTCGGTACAGGATCATTTGGAATAGTGTTTCAGGTTTGTGGGTTAACTTAATTATAACTTTGAATCAGTCCGCTTGTACATAGAGTAACCTAGCATTGCTGTCTCTAGGCAAAATGCTTGGAAACTGGAGAGACCGTGGCCATAAAGAAGGTTTTGCAGGATAAACGGTATAAAAATCGTGAACTACAGCTGATGCGCTTGATGGATCACCCAAATGTCATTTCTCTAAAGCACTGCTTCTTTTCCACGACAAGTAGAGACGAACTTTTCCTTAATTTGGTCATGGATTATGTCCCTGAAAGTTTATACAAGGTTTTAAGGCACTATAGCAATTCAAACCAAAGGATGCCACTCATCTATGTCAAACTTTATATGTATCAGGTTTACTTCTCTCCTCCTTTATCTTCTGTGCCTCTTCTGCAATTGGATATTATGTGATCCTAATAAAGTAAGTTGTATGTCAGATATTCAGGGGGCTGGCTTACATTCATAATGTTCCAAGAATTTGCCATAGAGATGTGAAACCACAAAATCTTTTGGTATGTGAATGCGAATCCACTTTACTCCTATTGTATGTGAAGGGGAATCCACTTTATGCCTATTGTATGATACCGTTGACCTAAATCTATATTGTATGTCGTTTGAAGGTTGATCCTCTGACCCATCAAGTCAAGCTTTGTGACTTTGGAAGTGCAAAAGTCCTGGTATGTTTGTCAGGAGAATTATTTTGCGCATAACATTTAAATTGAACCATTTCATTTTGTTGCATTTTAATACTAAAAGACTTTCCCATGCACAGGTGAACGGTGAAGCAAATATTTCATACATTTGCTCTCGCTACTACAGAGCTCCAGAACTCATATTTGGTGCCACAGAATATACAACAGCAATTGATATTTGGTCAGCTGGATGTGTTCTTGCTGAGCTTCTTCTGGGGCAGGTTTGTGTTATAACTTTGTTTTCAAGTGGATAGTTTTCTTATCTATTATTTCATTGGAGTTTGTTACTTTATTGAGCTTTCATTAATCATATACTATGACAGCCACTCTTTCCCGGCGAAAATGCTGTAGACCAAATTGTAGAGATTATCAAGGTGTGTCTTTGTACTTTCATCTTTGGACATTCTAGTAATCCTGATAACACTTACATGGATCTCTTTTTACTAATGCGAGACCTTGTCACAGGTCCTTGGTACTCCTACTCGAGAAGAAATTCGATGTATGAACCCAAATTACACGGATTTCAGATTCCCACAGAGAAAAGCTCATCCTTGGCACAAGGTATTGTGCATTATTATATTTTAGTAGTTATTCTGAATTAGGTCATATTGTTGTTGAAATATTTATGTTAACTACCCCTAGGATCAGATTTAATTGAAAAGAGAGCTAAAAAACTTCCATGGTTTCAGGTATTCCACAAAAGAATGCCCCCTGAAGCAATTGATCTTGCTTCACGGCTTCTCCAATATTCACCAAGTCTTCGCTGTACCGCGGTAAGTTGTCTCATTCTCTCTATGTGAAGAGCAATCGGACAGTGACATATAGCTAGGCATTAGTCACAAGATGGAATTGCTTTTTGCAGCTTTATTTCCTCTTGTGCAAGTGATAGACTTTAAAGTACTGTTGTATCATCTTCAAAACATTTGCTATATCACTCTATTTACCTGCTTTTACTCCTTGCAGCTAGAAGCGTGTGCACATCCATTCTTTGATGAGCTTCGTGAGCCCAATGCCCGTCTCCCGAATGGACGTCCATTTCCACCTCTTTTCAACTTCAAACAGGAAGTATGTTTTCCGAATTTTTTTGTTCCTTTACTAATATAATTATATTTGCCCATAACTATTTAACTATTCTGTCTGACCTTATCTTTGAATTTTTGACGAATTGTTGGCTCACTGGTTGAATTTACGGTTATGCAATTCTACACAGCCATCAAAAGATTTATTTTGTCAATTAGAGCATTGTTTTTCCATATCTATTATTAAGATGTTTGTTATAAACAAAAACGGAAGTGTTGAGTTGGGAGTGGGGAAGCAAATGTTTTTCTCGTGTGAAGTGGTAATTACAGGAAAGGAACTTTTAAAGTAAGTCCTTTTAGGAAAAGATATTCAAAAGTGAATAATACCGGAAAGTGATGCGTTACATATTAGCTCATGATTTTTGTGTGGTCCTTTTTTCTTGTACTTTTAAGTGCGTCATGCATCTTGTCGTTCATATTCCTTTTTCCTTTTTTTGATAATTCATTGTCCTTTTCCTAACAAATAACAATCACTTCTATTCATCTGTACTTTGCTTCAAAACGTGAGTATTAAAATTTGTCTGCACGTGCATGAATCTAAGTATTCATATTTATAGTTACCTATTATTGTGGAGCTATTCAATAGAACAAGTTTTGGTGGTTGATTGTTGTGAGAATTCATCTATGGTAATTGATGGTTTTAGAATTTTATCTCTCGGTAAAAGCTTCCATTTTCCAACAGTTAGCAGATCTTTAAACATCAAGATAATAATTTTGGCTTCACAACTTATTATCAGAAACATTAACCATTAGAAAAAGGTTCCTGTTATTATCCAATACGAGCCTTCTCTCAGGAATTGCACACACACGCGCGCGCATGTGTGTGTGTATATAAAATTTTGTATGAGGCAGGCATTGGGTATTTATTCTCATTGCGCATGTGTGTGTATATAAAATTTTGTATGAGGCAGGCATTGGGTATTTATTCTCATTGTCAACTAGGTGGGCTCTTGTTTTTTACTAGTGGGTTGTTCAACATACATGGACCAGTCTTTTGTTTCTTTGTGATTAAATTTCCCTTGCAAAGATGTCGGGGGACCATGAAAGTAATGTTGTGTCTGCCTGTTGCTTGCAGTTAACTGGAGCTTCACCTGATTTGGTAAGCAAGCTGATCCCTGAGCATGTTTGGAGGCAAACTGGTTTGAATTTTCCCTATCCCGGTGCGACGTAATTGTCCTAATGAAATATAAAGCTGGTGTATCAAGGTAGAGGGAGGCTTTGTGGATTTAGCTAACCTGGCATTTTGGCTTAACCAGCAGCTATGTACGCCTGTAAGTTGTATGCGTATAGTCGCTGCTTGGCTTGCAAGGAATTGATCCTGCTACTATGTCATCTTAATAGCAGGCTTGTTGCCGCTTCTGTATATTGTTTTTGATAAGAAAATTTCAGATAGGAGTATAAAATGATAAATATTGTAATGTCTAGTTAGGCAGATTTCCTTGAGAAGACAATAGGATTTGTAGCTTTTAGTTGTGGCTATTTATATTTACATGCAATTCCTTTTTGCTCTTTTTTCTATTCTCCAGTGTCTGGAGCAAATGCTATCCTTCCCTCTAAGTTAAATTTGTTTGTTTTTCTTAAACTAATGATGGTTAAATTTATAAGGGTACAAATAAAATTTAAAATCTGATACTAGATTTCTCAAGTTTCATAGTTGTGTTTTAGTAGAGGAAAATTATTACTAGGAAACCCAACAGTCAAAGAAGGAAGAAAAATGTACCATTTTAAAGAAGAATCAAGTATGTAGAGAGCAGATGTCAGATTTTCTTAATAGTTATATGCTCTTAAGTGAGTTTGATTCAAATACCACTTGGACCAAACTCAATGTAGCTAAGGCTGTTTAATAGGATAGCTGACAAAATAATGCCAAATACTTATCATGCCATAACACTGCTGGTTACGAGACGACTGTTTCAGCTATTTCCCTGGAGTCCTTGACCAAGAAATATTTCAAAATGAAGCTACTTTAGTTGAATTAAATTATAGAAGGTGCATCTTTTTAAACATGATCCTTTTCCAGTTATAGTTAAAGAGTTGAAAAAGGTGGGTTTTTTTTTTTCGAATTCTGCCTTACTCAAACAGCAGAAATGTTGAACAAAATCAGAAAACTGAGATTTTAAGGCAAATGAAGTTCAGTTGATGCAACCTAGAATTATGATAACATAAGAATATTAGATGAGTTGCCTCACGGCAAATGGTGCCGGGTTGTGCTAGTTATATTACTGGATGTATCCTAGAATGACATATAATACAACAGAGAAACTTCACCTCAACATTGCTATATAATGAGTCTGCTTCTACACCTCAAAATTCTCCCAGAATCAAGTCCCTATTCGTTCCTCTGTCAGTATGATTATTTTAACTTAGCTATTATAACATGTTTCCTCAATTCACTCACCCATTAGAAAAAAAGGAATTCAACAGTGTCCATCCTACAAGGAAAAAATGAATCTCTATATTCAGACATTTGATGTCGTTTCCACAGCCTTCCACTGCTAGTTATTCAAATTGAATCCATGATTTCAGACATTAAGCTGATTTGGTAACCTCATGAATAGCGTTTGCCAAGTAACCAACATTTCCAGTAGTAACTCCTGCCATACTGCACAACATACAAAACACACAGTATAACATAGTGGAAAAATTAATGAGATATTAACTCGTACAAGAACACCGGAGCATTAAGCAGAAATTCGTGAATGAGTGATTATACCTGATACGACCATTACGAGTCATGTAGATGTGATACTCTTTTGTCAAACGGTCAACTTGTTCGGGTGTCATCCCACTATAGCAGAACATGCCAATCTGTAGGCAGTATCGAGTATTAATGGGGCAATAGGTGAGCCATAGTGTTCTAATAGTTATATACTAGTATAGAACGCAACAGAAGTCATTGATTTCAATACCTGATTGGTTATGTGCTCCCACGATAGAGGTGAGCCCTTCTTCTCAAGGTTTTCTCTTAAAGCAGTTCTCATCCCGATGATGCGATCAGCCATGCCCTGGAAAAAAAACTCTTAGTCATTGAACCTTTACGTTTAACATATGATGCTCTGATAATGAGTACAAAGCTAAAAAGCAGCCACAACACCAACAACTTGACCTTGGAGAAATACAAGGTTAACAGGCCCCATGAAGAAAACAGTTAATGGCTGCACTGACCAATTTATGCGGCTGACACTACCACGCAATGAAAGCTTATTAAAGCTTGGGACTGGTTTAGACTTATTTCTGTGGCTGAAAATATAGGACAACAAAGCTATGGCAAATTGGTGCTTAAACAGATCAGCAAAAGAAAAGGATCTTTTCCATGTGAGTAGCAGAAAATGGTACAGCATTTCCATGTGATAGTTCTATCCAAATCTCATACATTCCAAAAAAGCGAGAAAATTCCCTTTTTTCAAAATTAAGGCAAGAAAATATCTTTAATAGCAAGGTTCCTAGTTCCTATCTGTCGTCAAAATACCAATGATAGTTATACAATCATAAATCTTTATCTCGTTCTAATCACATTACCTTCACTTCCCCAAGCCATAGCTTTTTCAAGTTTGGATCTCCAAGGATGGTAGAAACAACGAGCGCACCATGAACAGGTGGATTACTGTACATGGGCCTAGCAAGTTGCTGCAACTGACTTTTCACTGCCACTGCTTGCTTTTCATCCTCACAAACCACACTGCAGTGAATTGCGGAAGCATCTCAGCAAATGTATTAGAGGGCTTTGTGTGTGTTTAAGGGATTGATTGATGCTTTATTTTAAGACCGTAAAATCACTTGCATAGGACAAAAACCTAGAGTATACATTATTTTGTAATTTAAAACCAAAATTTTGGTGCTTTTCATTGGATCCAAGTTTTGACTAGCAAAATTCTGTTTTTCTCGTCGAGTTGGACTTTGAGGTGGAAATGAACTGAAGTTATCGGAAAGAACTCAATTTATTCTAAATAATTGTTGGATCCAAGTTTTGACTAGCAAAATTCTGCTTTTCACGTCGAGTTGGACTTTGAGGTGGAAATGAACTGAAGTTATCGGAAAGAACTCAATTTTTTATAAATAAACTTAAAATATTTAAATAAATAATTCTCTCTACATATTGATAATATGAAAAATATGATATATGGTAAAATTAGCTACTAAATGAAGATAATGAGGTATAATAAAAAGTTAATTAATCTAGAATTTACAGGAAATAGTAGTAACTGCTTTTGGAATTAGAACATTTGAAAAATAGACCGACTAAGGTCTAACAAAAAGTTAGTTTGACTCTCCAGATTGTAACTAGGGCAAATAAGATATGATAGTGGGAGTAGTAGTTTACCTTAGGCAACCAACTCTCTGGCCATATAGTCCCATATTTTTTGCATATGATTGGGCACATCCTATCGGATGACCATCTTCAAGAAATATCCTGATTGCCTTAGCATCCTTCTCTGGATTCCCACTAGCAAATCCTTGATAGGCCATGTCAAAGAAAGCAAAATGTCCCTTCACCTGGAACCAGTGTAATAAATTTAGTATGACTTGGTACAAGAAAAAGGAGAGACAAAATATACAAAATCATTACCTTGAAGTGGTGCGAGATCTCCCTCCATTGTTCCTCTGTAGGATCCACCCCAGTAGGATTGTGAGCACAAGCATGAAGCAGAAAGAATGATCCATTTGGGGCATTCTATGTCAATGAAAATTGAAATACGTCAGGATAGAACACATAATTGCCACTTGAGGAGGGACGCTATATCATCAAACAGGAGAACAAACCATCATGGAAAACAACCTCAAATATATGTTTTCTTACCTTTATATCATCCATCAGTGCAGTGAAGTCCAACCCCTTTGTTTCAGGATGATAATAATGATACGTTTTCTGAGGGACATGAGCATCTCTCCAAATGTTATGATGACTGCCAAGAATTTTATATTAGTAATGACAGGAAATTAGAAAATTTTGAAGGTATTTGCATACTCATGTTTTAATGTGCAAAAACCAATTGAGGAAGATCAATTAGGATGCTGTAGAGATGCCGAGAAGCAGAAGAATACACTTACTTAGACCATGTAGGAACAGGAATATAAATCTGTGAATCAGGACAAAAGCGCCTTTGGAAGTCTGCAAAAATTCGGCATGCTCCAGTCCCAGATAAAGCTTGAATTGCTGCAATGCGCTTATCTTTTATCAAGTCTGAGTTCTCCCCATAGGCTAACTTCAGTGACTCCTCGATCATGTTGACACTACCTCCCATAGGAAGATATTCCCTGATAAATGATGAATTGTTAACATGTGAACTAAACTATCCACATAGTATCACATGATACACACTTTTTTGAGAACAGATAACGTAGTTCTCCTCCATCTCAGGACACTTTCTATTTTAGGACGTCACAAAATGTTTGACAAACTTATATTGTCTATGTCTCATTTTATGTGAAACACTTTCCATTTTTAGCCTGTCCTAGAAGAATTAAATCTTTCTCTTTTTGGAAATTAGTTAATCTTAGCATCCCCGTTTTACCCTTAATGAATGACTTGTTGGGACCCACTTGATACAAAATTCATTCTTTTATAAGAAGAGAGAACAAAAAGAAATGTTAAACTCTCACTATCACTTGCTTAAAAGGATAATTATGGTACTTGGCATATATCAAACTTTCACGTCGTAAGTATCTTTATATTTTTTAACTTTGTGCAAAGTCAGATGCCTTCACATAAAATGAGACAAATGGAGTGCTAATAATATTCTCATAGATGGTTTCATAAATTTAAAGAAGCAAATCAATTCAAAATTTCAAATTCAAACTTGACGTAATATTCTTTATCCATAAAACAGACTTTTCACTTGTTATTTTAATACTTTCTAGTTTCTCCTACCACAATGAATAAAATACACAACTCAAATAAAAATTTATTACAACATGTCTAGTTAAACTTTTCAAACTTCATAATATAAAATGGGATGTGGGGCAATATTTGAAAAAGTTAAACACCATTGAACTATCGAAAGGTCAATTTGATATTAATAATTTATCTTGGGAGAAAGCTCTGCAAGCGCAGAAGAAAGAATTAGTAAAGAAATCCATCTGCACCATCCACTAGGCGTAAACGTGAGAATACAAAGAAAAAGTCCCAAAGAATCAAACTAGTTAGAGGAACTGACGGGTGGAAAATATCGGACCACCCATTTCTGTAGACTTAAAAAAGATGCTTCATACAAATAAGCACTCACTAATACATTCGTTTATTTATACTTAATCAATAACCAACAATTTGTGGCTACAGTAACTGAAAATAAAGAACAGTCACCACTCACCAGACTCACCACCAGCTATTTAGAAGCTGATCCCTAGCGTAAGCAGTGGTGCACATGCACCCATTTTCTCATACTCAAACTATACACACCCAGGAAATTCTTAAACGATATTGAAAATATATTTTTCCGAACTACCTATAAATCCTAGATCAGTAGGTAATTAATTACATGTGTGTGTATACAGCAAATTTTACAAAACTATTAAGAATA